AGATCATTTCTTTCTATTTTTTAGTAGAGACAGGGTCTCGCTCTTGCTCAGGCTGGTCTCGAACTCCTGACCTTGAGTGATCCACCCGCCTCGGCCTCCCAGAGTGCTAGGATTACAGGTGTGAGCCACAGCGCCTGGCCCTGAATACAATATATTAACTGGGGCAGTAACAACGGTATCCTTTTATTCTAAAAAGAGTCCTAGTTTAGAGGATAAGGTCACTTTTTTTTTTAAACCCAAGATCCAAGAAAGCAAAATGAAAAAATTTTGCCACTGTTTTAAAATGTAACCCAGAATGAAATTCTGTCAGTATTATGGAATCATGTAATAGAAAATATTTACATGTGAGGAAATTATTTATCTCACAAAATGTGTTCAAATTTACTAAGTTATGGAATAGAATTTGCTAAAATTTTAAGCGTCAAAACTTTTTGGCTAAAAATCTCAAATTTATAAAACAGATATTAAGTAAACCCTCTAGATGAACAGAGCCTCTCTCACAAGTATTTCTTTTAAAACATCCTTAAAATAACCATAGAAGATAACATCTTCTGTTCTTGAGTGACTATTCATTTATTGTTAATGTTCTGAACATTTTTCCTTTCTAGCAATATTTTTGAAATTTAACTTATATCCATATCCTTATGTCTGCACATTTAACACACAGTGATGACTTCAAATCCTCAACCAGTTTTTCAAGCACTACTTCTAACCTGAGTGAGTTTGTCTAGTTCCCCAAGCCAGGCTCCAAACATTTTGTCGAGGTCCTGATCTTCCTTGTCACTGTCTTCTTCAGCACCATGGTCAATTTCTTCATCTGATAGCTGCTCCATCTGAAATATTTGTGTAGAATGAACAGTTACAGGTTTAACTTAGAAAAATTATGCACTATGCTCTGATATATACTGCAATTCTCTGCAGTCAAATCTTCAAAACTAGAAATTATGTTATTAAATATAAAAGAAAATTAGAAGTCCTTAATGGAGAATGAACACAGTGTTGACAAGTGAGTAGAAATGAGGAATAAAGTCTCAAATTTTTAGGAAATTGTAAAAGGAAAGCAAACTATCAAATTAGGACCAGAATCACAAGTAACAATACTACAAAAAAATTACAGAACACTCCCTTCAATCAGCAGAGGATACAACAATAGCACAGTTCTCTGCACTAAGAGATGCTGTAACACCCAAATACCACAAAGAAACAATTTAAAAAGAATTTAATGCAGCAGCTTATCATCTTGTTTATTCTGTAAAAATCTGTTTAGATACAAAGAAACATATATTACGCAAAACCTCAGTACAAATATTTAAGAGAAAACTTGACAAAACAAAATTTTTCATCTAGTGTGGTCTGTTGAATTGGCTTCTCCTCCTATCCTACCTTCATTTTCTCCCCCCATGTCTTCTTTCTTTACCTTATTCAATTCCCCCTCAATTTCTACAAAATCCAAGGAGAAACAGAGTTGAAAAACTTTTAAATTCATATATAAAATTTCCTGTATGTGGTGACTTTTCAAATATAAGTCCTTTGAAAGAAAAAATTATCTTCCTTCTTCTCATTAACAAAATAATGTGACATCCGACATGGAACTTGCACATTGTTTTGTAAAGATGAGAGGAAAAAGTTACATAAAATAAGATTGATGACTGATCTCATTAATATAAAATTTCAACATTAAAAGCCCTGAGAAATCTTTAAATAAAGCTTAGCTTTGCTTAAACCGGCATATTCCAAAATAAAAATTACAGTCAGGTAGGCATGTTAGTTGGATGGTTTGGACTTGAGACAAATTAAAAAATTTTTTTCCAAGTAAGCAAATCATTATAATCCTTGGTTTACAAAGTCATGGTAGGTATTTTACATTTCTTAATATCACAGTTACTGAAAAAACCGAACAAAATTTTATTTCTAAAAGAAGAGAAAAACCAGCATATTCCAAATTTGACCATAAACCCTTTGCCTTCAACTTCTGTCCCAGGGACACAATGAATATCATCATGTATGTTATATTAAACACTCTTGGCTCACATTCCTAAAACAAATTTTGTTCCAGTGGATCTAGGCAATATTTGGAATATTATCTGTCAGCTGGTTTAAACAATTCCTCAAAGATTATATAGTGCATGGGCATCCCATTGGAAAAGATATCCTTAATCTCGAGTAACAACTTGATCATACACGTCAAGGCCCCTCCAAAATTTAGGTGTCCCCCATGTGACAGTGTAAGAGGTGGGGCCTTTAAGAGGTGATTAGACCATGAAGACTCCTTCCTTGTTAATGGGATGAAGGCCCTTATAAAAGAGGCTTCATGAAGCATTGGGCTAGTGTGCTATTTCACTCTTCTGCCATGTGAGGCACAGCCTTCCTCTCATTCCTCTCTGGAAGCAAGAAGGCCCTCAGCAGACACCAAGCACCAGAGCAGTGATCTTGTACTTTGCAGCTTTCAGAACTGTGAGAAAATAAATTTCTATTCTTTATAAATTACCCAGTCTCAGGAATTTTGGTGCAGCAACACATATGGACTAAGATGACATCTTACAGCTCCAAAGCAGCAATCAACAAAATTATCTCTATGATCCTTAAAGGTTAAGAGACATGTAAGGAATCTAATTATCTGACAAAGTGTCATGAAGTTAAATTTTAAATCTTCACCAAATAAAATTTTGCCAAAAGGGTCAAAAATAATGTTGCAAAATTAATGAAGTGACTCAGTTCTAAGATGTTCAGATCATATTCCACTTAATCACTTTAAGGGAAATAATTTTCTAAGGCCTACTACTGGAAAGGACCATAGCTCATCAATGTCTCTAATAGAAATTGGTAATTTCTGTTTCTTAATCTTTCATCACTCTAACCATGCATTAACTGGGGCATTCTACTCTGGCAAATAGAAAATGTATCTACCAATCTTCCAATTCACAAATTTGGCTCTTAAAGAGATTTGGTTTTTGTAATTCATTTATAATAATATTATTTTTAGGATTTTTATTCATTACTAAATAATTTACAGCTCCATTTCAATAGAAACCTGATATCATAGTTCATTAAGCAATCTACTTATGAAAAACATAAATGTTAGTGAAAAGAAAATGTCATCTGACCAGGTGACTTAATTACTCAAATAATAGTTGCTAGTCTGAGAAGACTTATGAGCTATAATCAGTCTTTATGAGGTTCAGTAAGCAACAGAATCTAGACTGTAACAGTCAACTTCCTCTTCCTAATCTTTAAAACTAAACACAAAAGAACAACCCAGAAGCTAAAATATTCTAGGATGAATTCTGCTTTAAGATAGTGATA